CTTCTCCAGAGGATCTTCCTGACCCAGGGATTGAACCCTGTTCTCCCACATTGCAGGCAGACGCTTTACCATCTGGGCCACCAGGGAAGCCCCATATTGGAAGGGGGATATTATTAATAATCATGCTTGTACAAGTGGCACAAACAAGGACCACTCCAGGCAAGCTGAGGACTATAGTTATCCTATTTTTAAATGCAGGTGTGAGTGTGCATGCTCACTTGCTTAGTTGTATGGGACTCTGAAACCCCAGGGACAGTAGCCTGCCATGCTTTTCTGTACATGAAATTTTCCAGGAAAGACTACTGGAGCAGATGGCCATTTCCTACTGCATGGGATCTTTCCTGCCAAGGGATTGAACCCATGTCTCTTGCATTGGCAGGTGGATTCTTTACCACTGTGCCACTTGGTAAGCCCCTTAGAGGCAGTTGAGAGAATTAAATGAGAAAAATAAATATAAAGCACATAGGACAAAGCCTGACACACAGAAAGTGTTCGGTAGATACTAGTCAATATTTGATTTTACTATTGAATTGAAAAGTTTTATTGTTTTGGCTTTGCTTTTCTCTCTTTTAACAATACTAAGCTTGATATTCTTCTTTATGATAAAGGATAGTGGGCTGAAATAAGGAGAGCTTAAGTTTTTCAGGACTAAGAAAAACCGAACTGAAAGTTAAACATCCAATCTCTCTAAATGAGGAGCAATGTTGAAAGATACTGCAGAAATTCTTAGTTATAAGGAAGATGCTGGAATTACAGTGCATGACCTGTGAACTGTTCGTACCATCAGAAGCATGAATGGAAGAACTGGAATTTTAATGGTTTTGTGTAACACTTCTCAAAGGCTTTGGTCTGAAGATCCCTTTACACTTAAAAAAAATTTTGGGCACCATAATAAAGCTTTAGTTTATATGAGTTATATCTATTGATATTAGAAATAAAAATGGAGGCAATTTAAAAATATTCATTTAGGGAATTCCCTGGCAGTACAGTGCTTAGGACTCCACACTTTGACCGTCAAGGGCCTGGACTGGATCCTTGGTCAAAGAACTAGGATCCCTCAAGCCACTCCTTGTGGCCAAAAAAATTATTTTATTTATTTAAGATAACTTCATCAAGTATTAACACAACTAACATATTTAAATGAAAGAAACTATCTTTATAAAATAAAAACTGTTAGAGGGTTCATGTTTTACCTTTCTACAGATCTCTTTTTTGACTGGTTTAGTAGGGTTGAATTTGTTGCAATACGTTATGGTAGAAAAGTATGAATAAGATACACTGTTGGAAAAGTGAGGGAGTATTTTAATAGCTTTTCTAGATAATTATGGTTATTCTTTGATACTACACCAAAACTCCACAGTAGTTTCTTTTTTTTTTTTTTTAATATGGAACGCTTCACGAATTTGCGTGTCATCCTTGCGCAGGGGCCATGCTAATCTTCTCTGCATCGCTCCAACTTTAGTATATGTGCTGCCGAAGCGAGCACCACAGTAGTTTCTTAAAGGTTTATTATAAACTGAGATCTGAAATCATATCAACTAACTTTTTGTACTGTTACTTTGAAGCACATCAGTCTGTTCTGCACTTTGAATGAATCTTTAACTCATGATTTTGTAACATCATCCATTATTCAGTTGGAAAATATTGTTTCACTGAGTTAGGCAGATATTTCAAATGTTCACACATTTCAGAAACCTAATACTTTAGAACATTCTAGAAAACATATGACACACATCCCATTAGCCATCAGAATGATGGTATCATCACATGTCACGTTGCCTCTGGAAAACTCCACAGTAGATTTGTGAAAAAATGAGAAGAATAAGGACAAATCATGTCTTATTATGAAAATAGTTTTGACTGCATGACTCATTGAAAAAGTTGTAGTCTCAGGCCATACTTTAAGAACAGTTGATATGGTATGATATGAGCTATTAAACAAAGAAAACAAACAAAAGAAAACTTACCACCTCCTTTTCTCTCTTTTAAAAACCAGTAGACAATATGACATAACACACAAACAGTAAAAGGCTAAAATATAGTCTCAGGTGGCAATTGCAAGTCTCTTTACAATGAAGGTAAGTAGACAAGCTTATAGAAACATATGATTTGTAATTTAAAGGTCTTTTCTCATTTTTTGGGAGTTTGAACCCTGTTAATTATTAGCATTTCAAAGCATGAGAGTAGCTCTCTTTGGGGAGCTCAAAGTGCCTCACTTCTTGGTCTTCTCCCCATTCCCCCCACCCCGATACCTGCCCAAGATGGAATCTTTGCAGAAACATACAGGGTGGCAGAACAATACTAAAAATATTTTAGTACATGTTTTCTGTTTGCAACTTAGATTGTAAGCTACTCGTTTTCTATGGAAAGAGTTTTCTTTGCAAGTACAGAATAGAAGATGGTATTCTTACATGAAATTTGTTGCATGTGAGGAACTGCTAGATAAACCTGTTTTGCTCTCCTTGTTCTGTTATTCCAGGCCCTTCAAAGTAGGATGATAGCGCAGCCTGATCCTAGTTTTTGGAAAAAGCTGCTTGCTAACTAGTTTAGGCTGCAAGAAATTCATTCAGCAATACTGCCACGGAGAAACGTTTTTTAGGCGCCTTGCTCCTTACTATTCAGTTTCCCAATGCACTTATCACATCCTTCTAGCTGCATGGTAGGTCCTACTGTGTGGTCTCCTGGGAAATGAACCGATTTCAAGATTACCTACCCTTCAGCAAACACCTTTTGTACTTTCTTTTAGGAAAGTCTTATTTTATCTTAGATGAGTCCAGACTCAGATACAGTGTTAGAGGATGTCAAATCAATTAAAATTATTTACACTAAAGCATGAATTAAAGACGGATATCAAGTGCTTGAGAACCAAGAACAAACTGATGGACTGAACAAATAAACTTGAAAAAGGGTGACTACATGTGGCCACAACACAGTACTCAGCTTTTCTTTGCAACCATAATAAAAGCCAGTAAGATATAACACAGGGAACTCGACTCAATACTTTGTAAACACCTATGTGGAAAAAGAATTCTTAAAAATAATGGATATATGTATACCGGATTCACTTTGCTATACACCAGAAACTATCACAACAGTTTGAATCAATTGTATACGCCAATTAAAAAAACCCCAAAACAGTAAGTCATTTAAGTTTTAATCTCATTGCCTTAAGTGCCCAGGCCATAACTGGAAGACAAGGCTGGTAATGCAGTAAGTGAGACCTGAGATCACTAAATGGTTATGTTTTGCAGACCCACAGATTTAGATAGTTAAGGTGAAATAGGGTGAAGTGACAAGATGACAATTCTCTTTTGAGCAAGGTGTTTTGACTTCAAGGCCGTTGGTAATAATTCTGAGACCTTCTTGACGTTTCATTATTCCTCGTATTTGTTTTTTTAATTTCAGCACTGGAATGAAAACTCCAGACTCTGATTTACAACTGTTTTTAGATTAAGACGGGGCCTGGAACTTGGGAGTACATGACAGTTTAAGCTAATGCCACCTCCACCCTCTTTTGCAGGGCGCCCTCTCTTCCCTTCTCGCAGCTGTTCCAACTCCCGGGCTTGGCTGAGGGTAGACGACGGGGTGACTACCCGGCCCAAAAAGCCATTAAGGGCGTATTTCTGAGTCTTCAGATTCTCGCTCTCGCCATGACCTTTCAACAGGCGGGCGGTACGGCGCCTGCGGTGCTCCGGGGCCGGCAGTGCGCGCTGGATGCAAGCAACAGGCACGACCGACGTGCCATTACAGCGATTCTCCAGCGACAGCAGTGGGCGGCACATGAATCTTCTTTCTTTAACCCTTCTTCACACAGAGGCCCACCCTCACCGGACATGAAGCTGTCTCTACTGTACGTCACTTCCGGCCCGGAGCCAGCCGCTTGGCGGAAGCGAGCACGTCCGTGCGCGGTAACTTTGTTCCCGCCTCCTTTGCCCCTGACACCACTCACCTTCGGCTTTCTCGGAGCGCGACGTGCGTGCGCGCCCCCGGCCTTGCGTCAGGGCCGAGGGGAAAGGCCGAAAGAGCGAGGGTAGAAGGAGGGGTTGCGGAGGTTAGGGCCCAACCAGCGAGTCCCGTCGTCCTCCCTCCTCCTGACGAAGAGCGGAGAGGGAAGGGGAGGAGCGAGCCGGGCCGGCCGCGCACTCCAGGAGCCTCCTCGTGGAGGGGGGGGAGCGGAGGAAAAGGGCAGCACCGCCACCGCTGCTCGCGGCGGCGGAGGAAGAAGAAAGTCAGGGCCCCTACCCACCGCCTCAGACTCAGAAACGCTCCCCCCGCCCCCATCTCCCCGGAAACAGCCCCCCGCCCAGCCCCGCACACTCGCTGCCCCAACCGTGAGCCGCAGCCGGGTCGCCCCCGCCTCGCCCCGCCCCGCCGCCTGTCCCTGCGGGCCGCAGAGTGCGCGAGGCCTTAGGCCGGGAGTTGTTGTCAGGCCCAGGCCACTTCCAAGGCGCCCGCCGTGTGTCGCCGCCACTACAGGAGGACGACGTCGACGCTGAGAAGGAGGAGGAGGCGGCGGAGGCGTGTTGTTGTCTCGCCCACTCCCCTCCCCTGAACTCGCACCCAACGTCAGGGCGCGATGAAGTGAAGCGGCGACGAAGGTGGTACTTCCGCGTTGCGCTACCGGAGCCGAGAGCTCAGCCGAGGCCGCTCCCCCCACCCCTGGGGGGCACTTGGAGGACTCCGGACTCCCCCGCAGGTCAGCGCCCGGCGCATCTGGTGTTTTTGCGGCTGAAGCTAGGACGACGAGAGCGATCTGGAGCTCCTCCGCCCGGATTCCTGCTGCCCTCGGGCCCGGAGGCCGCTACGTACCCCACTGTGACCTGGAACCCAGGGACCCAAGTCCCGATCCGGATTATCGTGGCGCTTCTCCCGGACGGCCCTGGTGCTCGGTGTCCCTCCGCCATCGCTGCCGCCGTTCCCGTTTCCGGCGGGGGAGATGGCCAGGATCTGACCCGGGAGGAGGCCGCACCCGCGCCGCGCTCTGCGGCGGGCTCTAGGCGATGCCGAGCAGCTCGGACACGGCGCTGGGGGGAGGCGGGGGCTTGAGCTGGGCGGAGAAGAAGTTGGAGGAACGCCGCAAACGGAGGCGATTCCTGTCCCCTCAGCAGCCGCCGCTGCTGTTGCCGCTCCTGCAGCCGCAGCTCCTGCAACCGCCGCCGCCCCCGCCGCCTCTGCTCTTCCTGGCTGCTCCCGGCACGGCCGCCGCCGCAGCCGCCGCCGCCGCGGCCTCCTCCTCTTGCTTCAGCCCGGGCCCCCCTCTGGAGGTCAAGCGGCTGGCGAGAGGCAAGAGGCGCGCAGGAGGGCGGCAGAAGCGGCGCCGCGGGCCCCGCGCCGGGCAGGAGGCGGAGAAGCGTCGGGTCTTCTCGCTGCCCCAGCCGCAGCAGGACGGCGGTGGCGGTGCTAGTAGCGGCGGGGGTGTGACCCCGCTGGTGGAGTACGAGGATGTAAGCTCCCAGTCCGAGCAGGGGCTGCTGCTGGGGGGGGCCAGCGCGGCAACGGCGGCGACGGCTGCCGGGGGAACGGGGGGCAGCGGCGGGAGTCCGGCCTCCTCCTCCGGCACCCAGCGTCGCGGGGAGGGGTCGGAGCGCAGGCCCCGCCGGGACCGCCGCAGCAGCAGCGGCCGCAGCAAGGATCGCCACCGCGAGCACCGACGGCGGGACGGGCAGCGCGGCGGCGGCGAGGCCTCCAAGTCCCGCAGCCGCCACGGCCACGGCGGCGAGGAGCGGGCCGGGGCCGCCAAGAGCGGCAGCAGCAGCAGTAGCGGCGGCCGGCGGAAAAGCGCCTCGGCCACGTCCAGCAGCAGCAGCAGCCGTAAGGACCGAGACCCGAAGGCCCATCGGAGCCGGACTAAATCGTCCAAAGAACCGCCTTCGGCCTATAAGGAGCCGCCCAAGGCCTATCGGGAGGACAAGACCGAGCCCAAAGCCTACAGGCGGCGGCAGCGGTCCCTGAGCCCGCTGGGAGGCCGGGACGACAGCCCGGTGTCCCACCGGGCCTCGCAGAGCCTGCGGAGCCGCAAGTCTCCCAGTCCGGCGGGAGGTGGCAGCAGCCCCTACTCGCGGCGGCTGGCCCGCTCCCCGAGCCCCTACAGCCGCCGCCGCTCCCCCAGCTACAGCCGCCACAGCTCCTACGAGCGCGGCGGCGACGTGTCCCCCAGCCCCTACAGCAGCAGCAGCTGGCGCCGCTCCCGGAGCCCCTACAGCCCGGTGATCAGGTGAGTTTGGCGTCCCGAGCGTCCGTCATGGGCTGGGCCGGCCAGAGCCCGGAGGCTGGGCTGGAGGTGATGAGACTCCGCAAAATTCGGGTCCGCGGGCGGGGCGAAAAACCCCACCTCGATCGGGGCTTCCGGTGGGGAGGGGCGCTTTCGCGCGCCCGGGACCCCTGTTGGGGCGTTTGGAGGGGACAAAGCGACAGGTCCAGCAGACTCTCCTCGCCCTGGAAAAGGAAGGGTTCTGGAGAAGAGTTAAAAGTTTTAAACTTGTTGCATTGATATATTAACAGGTTTCTCTAAACTGCTCTTAGCTTTTCCCATACCAGTTGGTTTGGGTAAACCGAGAGGTGGTTGGATTTGTCACAATTTGAAAGCTCTCAGAAGAGGTTTCATTGCTGGAGACGTAGGACTGGGTTGCGGCTTAGGGAGTAAATATTGGAGAGTGGGCACCAGATGCTGATGTCAAAGTTAGGTGTGGGTTGCGTATGTTGCATATGAGGAATACAGCGATGTTAAGCAGCCTTTCTGTAGAGTTCGTTGTTTCAGTATGTGAAACAGCTGAAGTGAAGTCTCGTGGTTATAATTTTGAAGATGCTTATTTTATATTCTTGTGTGAAATATTTTTTTCACCTGACCTTCCAGTTCTGGTTTTAGAAAGAAAAAAATGGCGAGATTGTGGTTTCATTGTTTGTTTGTGTGACACTCAGTTGCTGATAACGTCATTTAAATACAGTCTAGTTGCTGTGATCCTGTATAGTGACCCAGTGAATGACTTAGTACTGAACGTTTCTTACACTATTACACTATCTGCTATTTAAATTATTTACGTTAAAGTTAACTAGACCTTTGAGTATCAGGATTTTTGTTCAGGTATCAGTGAAAAGTATAATTTGATCTAGTGAAATTGGAGTAATTCTTTTATGCATCTGTTATGCCTTACCTGTTACATAATACTATTTTCCAAAAAAAGTGTGTGCCTTGATATAAATTTATATCTTTTAAGCAAAATAAATTGAAAGTAACTTGAGGATATTTCATGTTCTTCGATTCCCTTAGATGTGTAGGAATTCTAGACTCTATAGTTTAGGGTATGAGAAAATGTTTGTCGGTTTTTTTTTTCCTATTGGTCTTTTCAATAATGCCAAGCAGCTGCTGAGCGTGGTTATGTTGAATACAATATGTGTACCTGTAAAATTAGATCTTGAAGCGTCAGCCTAGTGTTTGTAAAGATGTGATTCCAGCAGAGATTTGTGTTTGCCTTTAAACCAAAACAGCTGTATAAATCTCTTCATTCTTGCAGGGTTGCAGCACACTTAATAGTGCTAGTTGATGTGTTAAGCAGAGAATATCAAGATTGAACACTCAATTTCACCATATCTAGCTTCTATATCTTGTATGAGTTTATATTTTTCTTTAAATGAAATATGTTAGGTTTGCCAAAATGTTTGTATTTTTTGCAGGTAAATTTGTTTTTGACTGATTGGGTCTAAGTTTTAGTGCTTTAGATAGATACTAAGTGTATGATGCAGGTTTAAGAATGAATTTTGTGTTCATCAGACTTTTTAGTTGCTAGGTACTTCAGTGAGGTCCTTTATTATCTAATAGTGCTGTGTATTTTCTGTTTATTACAGAGCAGCATTATGTGTGGTTAGGGGTGTTATTTTATATTTAGCAAGTATTTATTGAGCATGTATTATATGCCAGATAACTGTTTTAGGGACTGAAATATAGCAGTGAAGAAAGACAAGGTCCTTCCCTTTATAAGCCTGGCATTCTAGAGGATCATTCATACAGAATCTTTTCATGGTGTCTGTACTGATCACCCATGTTTATAAATGGTTGGATTTCGAAGAAGCTTTAGAGTAGATTGGCCGACATTCCTGACAGCTAGCCTTTTGACTGTGTGCATGTATACATCTAATAGAGGTGGGAAGATGTTATATTACTTTGCGACAGCCTATTCTGTTAGATTTGGAACTTCTACTGCTGGTTTGCCCAGTTTCTTAGCAAGTCCTTGGGAGATTCCATTTCCTAAACTTTAACAGGGAAATACTTGGTTTTTTTGGATTATTTCAAGGATTAAATGAAAAATTTGTGTTTTGTGTGTATTTAAAATTAGTAAATTTTGCTGTTACATCTCAATAAAACTGATATTTTTAAAGGGAAAAAATTTGTGTTTTGTGAAGTATAGAAATATTATAGACTATTACAGAAACATAACATTGTAGAATATTTATTGCCTAGCTTGAATTGCTGGAATTTTTCATATTGAAACCAGAAATCTGCCTCCACATAACTTTTGCTCAGTGCTTTGAGTTTAGCTTTTTGGAATACTTCAGAGCAAACATGTATGCTGCCTCTTCAAAATGTAGACAGCTGTGTCTTCTGAGTCGTTTTTTGGTCTGGGTCAAAAACCTAATTTTTCATAAAGTTTTTAGATTTCACATTGTATTATGCCTAGTTTGTCAAATGTCCTACTTGAAAATAGGACTCAGAATATATAGTTAAAATATTGATTGAAAAACTTGATTTTTAAATATAGCAAATGTGTTGTTACTGTTTTGGAACAACTAATTGATCTCTCTTGTTCATGTTAATGCAGAAAGTTTTAAGTAATTATGGTAGATGGCCCACATTGTTTAATGAATAGACTGTTGGATTGTGAGCTCCATGAAGGCAATTAGCCTGTCTTGCCTACCATTGTATTCCTAGTGCTCAGCGTAATATCTGGCACCAGTAGACTTATTAATTGTTGAATGGGGACAGAAAGGGATGATGGAGTTTACTGAGCATATGAAATGCTGTGGGCCTGGATACTTAAGAGTTTAATAGCAACTGTGTGTTTTGCTATAGGAAATAGCAGAGTGATATTTTGTAGCACTCAGGGAGCTTATATAATAATGAATTGTCAGTGTAGATATTTTAAGGAAATGCATGCATGTTTAAAATGGTATTGAAACCATGAATTGAAAGTTTTTCTCTGTATTCCTAGAATAAATCCTCTATTCCACTGACTTCTACTTCATCGCTTCTACTTCCATTGACAACCTGCTCTTTGCCTCCATCTGAATCTTTAGCCCCCTGCTGCTCATGCTTTTCACAAAGTCCTTTTTAACTTTTTCTCTTTTAAAACCAGGTTACCATATTTTCTTTGCTAGTTGACAGTTGGGGTGGTAGAAGTCACATAATTCTGCTGATTGGCCTTACAATAAATGTGCAAGTGAACTTAAGAGGGGCTGTGTAGAATGAGAGAGAGTGGTACTGACACTTAGATTTTACTGAGTGCCAGGCATTGACTGATACTTAACATTCACCTCCAAAGCCATGTTGTGGTTGGAACATTCTTGTTGATAGACTGGGAAATGGAACCTCTAAAAAGTTAAGTGATTTGTTCCAAGGTCAGCTTGAATTCAAATGCTGAGCCGATCCTGAAGTATAAACTCTTGATAGATATTGTGCTGTAGGGGTTCAGGGGAGCTGACCACCTCACTTGGCAATCTGTTTTGCTAAAATTTACCCCGTTTGGTTACTTGTGTGTTAATTTCTGTTTTCTGACCATCTCTGCAGCATTTTGAAGATTTAAAAAAATTTTCAAAAAAACCCAAATTCTTCTAAAGGTCCTTTCAGGTCACTTTGTCTTTTAATTTGTAGGTTTTATGAATAGGAGGCTAAAAACATTTCTTGGAGGCACTAGTAATACTTAGTTATTGCAATGGCATGTCATGGTCTGAAGTCACTCAAGTTAGACCAGTTGCTATCAGTATAATAAATTGCTATATGTAACTGATTCCTTTCCTGAACGTGTGGAAGTTCTTTTCCACCAGGAAGCAGCAGAATCCTCAATTATGGAATAATGAGACCCTGAGGATCTAAAGACAGGCATAAATTTAAATGAATTGACTAGTATTCACTTGCATATGTTGTAGGGTACCTCTGTTGTAGATTATTTAGTGTTTTGTCCTAAAAACCAGTGCTCAAAAATAAATGAAGACATTCCAGAATTTTTAAAACAGTATTACTCATAAAATACTGATTTGATATGTGCTTACTAGAAATATCATGAATACCCATAGATGAATTGAGTTCTTAAAATGCTTTTCAAAAGTGTTAGAAAGATAGGTTAGTTGAATAAATGCAGAAACACTCAGAAGGGATGGAAATTCAGGTGAACTGTCTTAAATCTCTAAACCAGTAATCACCCCTTTCATTCCCAAGATGGCCTTGTGTTTTGCTACTTCTCTGACCAAACCTTACCTGACATTTACGTCTACTCATTCTGTATCACATTTTTATTTTAACACTGATACTGCCTTAGTTCAGGCCCTCATTTGTGATCAGACTTCCTGTTATTCTTTTCTTTCCTGTTCATCCATTCTTTTCTTCCCAGTTCATTCTTTATCCAGGAGAGTTTTCTGAAAATTTTGGTTAGGTTGTGTCACTTCCGTTAATTAACTCCACATTTTCTAGTGCATTGTCAGGTAAGGCCTTTTATTATCTGGCCCTGTTCTATCAGAGTTCTACTTTTAGAGTCACTTCTATTTCTCTACATTTTTACTTTTGCTGTTCCTTTAGCTTGAAATCTCTTTCTCTTCTTTGCCTCCACCTTTGCAGCTCAAAATCCAGCTCAAATTCCATCATCCTGAGACCTTTCTCCATTCATCCAGAAAAAGTTAATTCCTTTTTTTATATCCTTATAGCACTTTGCTGTAGCTTTAATGTAGAGCATTTAAAACTTTGTCTGACTACATTTCCCTACTAGATTGCAAGCTCTTAGAAGACAAATTCCAAAGTGTATTTATTAGTGGTTGAATTAATTTAAATATTTTTCTCCACAGATTAATGCAAACCAACTTTTGCACAGATGCCAGTTGTATCTCTAAACTTACCTACTGTTTTGGTTCACATATACTCCAGGATGGGGGAAGTAATTGTTTTGATTTTTAAGTGAAGAATTTAAGAACCTCCCTCTTTTAGCTTCTACTTAATTGGAGTGAGTCAAGAAT